TGTAAAACCGAAAGGGGGGCAATGGACAACCCGTGAAACTGCGGGTGTGCGTGCGCGCACGGGGAGTGGCCTGATCGCTGCCGTGACCCCCAAGCCCGGAAAAGAGAGAGAGAGAGAGAGACAGAGACCGGTAGCCATTTTGGCTCAAGCTGGGCTCGCGTTTGTGTTGCGGGGGAAGCCTTGTGCCACCACTCAGGCATCTCAAGACGTCCTACTTGGGCTCGATGCTGCCTCTCAGCAGACTTCGAGGAGCGGTCCTTGTGTACGAGGCCACGACCATGGAGCCATGTGCTCGTGGTGCGGTCGGCGTCATGGTGCCTCCCTCACCTTACGCTGCAAGTGGCGGAGCTCATCCAGGCCGCCAAACGCCACCGTCGCCCACCTCAGAGCAGAGAGCAAGCGGTTGCACCTTGTCCTCTGCGAGAGTGACGACGCCGTGTGGGACGTCCGGCCAGCGCAGGAGTGCCGTCTTTTTTCACCGCCTGCAAGTTGGCGAGCCGCGCTTACGGACGCAGCGGTGGAGGAGGCGTTGCAGGCGATCGCAGACAAGCCGTGGCCATGGGGTCTTTGCAAACTGCTTTGCCCCTGCCGCTGCTTGTGCAACAGGGGGTCTCCGACTTCGAAGGAAGTCCGCAGTCGATGTGAGGACCTGCCAGTGCGGGCGAACCGCACAACTGAAGGGCAGCGACGAAGCAAGTGATGGCTCAGAGTTTTGTTGCATGAAAGGCACAAGATGCTCTCGGGGGACATCGGGACAACCCCTGTTTTCCGAGACCCGCTGTTGTAAGCCCGAAAAGGGCACCAGCTGAACCTCCTCGTACAGCCGAGCCCATCCACACAAACTAGTGAATACACAGTACAGGCTAAAGGGTCGAGCGCAAGGTCACAGGCAGTGAGTGCGCGGGGATCAGGCATCTGTTCGGGATACAGGCAGGGATCAAGCAGGTCAGGTTGGTTTCAAGTGGTGCACTAGCCCACATGCACAGAGGGCACACACGCCCACAGTGGAAGTAGAGTGGAGTCCGTTATTGCAGCACTTCCTTTGCAGCTGTAGTTTTCTGCTAGTCTGACACACAAAGGGGACCAGCTTTACTGAAAGTGAACTCGAGCAGGGCACCGTGGCCGCTGAACCCTGATTATTTGCTTTTAGTTTGGTTGTGTGTTTGCTGTTCTTTACGAGAAAGGCACGGGAACCCGCTGAACGTTGCTCCGAGTACAGCCGAGCCCATGCCGACAATATGTCAGGGGTTGCGCTGAAGCGCGGGCTTGGCGACTGCTTGCAGCTCTCACCCTGAGCAAAGCTAAGCAAACGCCAGAGACCGGATCCTCGCGGATTTAATTTTTACGTATTTCAGCCTTGTAGGGTTGCTAGACATCGTTGTGCAGTTGTTTTGCATACATACACATGAGTGATCCGGCGAGACTTCTGGACGATCAACCTCCCCGATGTAGCCGTTGCAGTGCCTGGCAGTTACGCAGGATGAACACTCCCCCGCATCGTCGTAATTTGTTTTTGAGGGAATTATCTACGCGCCTCTGCCTGCTAACGCAGGGAATGTTACATCTTGCAGACAGTTGTGGTGAGGTACATAGGTCAGGTCCAAGGCAAGTCCCAAAAATGCTGACAGTAGACCTGTAAAGTCAGCATCCGACTTGTAAATGGGACTGCAAAATCACCCAGAGCTCTGAAACAAGTTACTGTTTGGTCGAAGATTACGGTATACAGGGGGATCACCCTCCTGAGCCTTTGTGTTGGAGAATGTACGTGCATCCTTGATTGCTTTCGTATCCTGTGTGGCTTCAGCTTTCATGATGCACTACATTCGTTCCTCACTCCTCCGATGCCCGAGAAAGACAATCGGGTGGGCTTGAAGCGTGGGTGTTTGAACGTTCCACCATGCCCGGGAGAGAGGAAGAGAGATAACAAACATGCGGGTGGGCTTGAAAACCGGGGGTCCTGACCGACCCCTATGCCCGTGAGAGAGAGAGAGAGAGAGAGAGAGAGAGAGAGAGAGAGGAGAGAGAGAGAGAGAGTTGGCTCAAGGACAGAGGCTCAAGGTGCGTACAGCGTCTCCAAGACCATCCCGCTGGACGTCTGCTCGAAAGGGGGTTTCGGGGGTGAAGGTCTCTGACTGTGCCTCTGAGACCGGATCGCCCGGGCCCTCTCATCAAGTAAAACTAGAGTGTTGGGGGGGACGCAATATTCGTGTCTGTGAAGTTTGCAGTGCTACGGCCCAGAACGCGACCTCCAGATTGCAAGGGCCTCAACTTCCGCTTCCTCGAAGAAAAGGGGACGGTGCTCGAGACCATCCTCGTTGACCCGGGGAGCACAAGCTTCGCACTGTGTACCAGCACACTGGACGGGGGAGAGTTTCAACGTCAAGATCGTGAAAGTGGCAAGGCCGACAACCTAGTGACCCTTGCACTCTGTGGGGGAGGATGAGCCAGTGGCCGTGGGGGCCGGAGGGGCGGCCGCCAGACAGATGCACAGCCACAGGAGGACACGCAGCACGACCCAGTGAGCCGGTGGGGGAACCACCAACAAAGAGCGCCAGACTGAACGCAGCCGTGGAAAGACCCCGTGAGCTTGAGGAGGAGCCACCGCGCTGTGACCGCCAGGAAAGGGGGGACGAGCACCAGTACGTCTTTCTCCTAACCTCGACTGGCAAGTGCGCCAAGTCCAGAACTACATGGCCTCGCGAAGGGGGACAGAGAGCTCGACTAGGTGACGTACTGAACGGAAGTGAGCGCTGAGGAAAACCTTTGCTGCACCCAGTGCTTCAAGGGAGAATTTTCCGTCTTGAGGTTCGGTGTTGAGCTTTGAAGCCAAACCAGGTGCCTTGTCCCGCCTTCTGCTTGCGAAAGCCAAGCTGGGGGGACCCAACTTGCATGTACCTTTCGATAGTTCCAGTCGACTTTCCTGCCATGCCCGGTGTGAACTCTTTAAGCAGGAGTTGGGGGATATCGTCTCCCAATCCTTCTCAGGTAAACCCGTTCAACTCAGGCCCGACCTGACCTGCAATCCTAGTGTCTTTTCAACACGCCGCCTTGAATGAATTCGGGGGGAACAGAAGGCCGTAATTCATTTCAATCAAACCTCGTAGTCCCATGGTGGTCCTTGCTTATACACAGCGGGACAACAAATGCAAGCTTTTCCTTCGACCCCCAGAAGGCCTGTGGGTGGGGGGGGATGGGGCTTTCATGTCATGCTAGGATGCTGTTGTTCGGTCGCATGTGACGTGGGGTATGCACGCGAAGCACCAACAGGCCTTCCCTTTTCATGGTTCGGCAAAACTTGTCCACCTATACAGCCGAGCCGACCTGGGGCGAACCCATGGGGGGAGCAAAGGACACTCCGCGAATAGCGGGAGTGCGTTCGCGCACGGGGGAAGCGGCCTGAACGCTGCTGCGACCCCCACACCCGGAAGAGAGAGAGAGAGAGAGAGAAAGACAGAGAGAGAAAACAACAAAGTGGAGAAGGGGCCCGGGTCCGTTCCCAGACCTAACCCCAGCAGAGGGAAGAAAGGAAGGAAGAGCAAGAAAACAGCGCAACTAAGGGGCCTCAAATCATCGTGTAGCCCAACGCAACAGAATGCAACAGACCGGACATGCAAGGCGTATTCGCTTGTGTAGGCGGGGACTCCTGTAAGACAGAGAGAGAAAGAGAGAGACCCGTCAATGACAACTCCCAAATTTCTAAAATCGGAGCGCCCTGTTGGCGCGGTCAGTGACCGGACCTTTATGCCTCACCGAAAAAGGGGGAAGGGGGGGGACTGGGCCCGGGTCCGCATGGAGAGAGAGAGAGAGAGAAAGCATTCGCTGTCGACGGTCGGACTTTTGCCCCAGCGAGGGAGACAGACAGAGAGAAGACACACGCTTTATGCCTGCAGCATGCAGATGAGCGAAGGGAGAAGCTTTCTTCTTCTGAGCGTGACAGGCAGCTGCCCGTGCCCTTGCGAACCAGGGCAAAGTCTCCAACCACCACAGGACGTTGGTGTGTTTCAGCTTGTGGTCTGTGAGCTGTGAATTGCTCTGGGGCACTGCAAAAATGAAACTTATTCTTCCTCGCCACGTATCGTGACTTGAACGCAGGAGATGCTGGCAGAGAACTGTATCGGCAGGCAGGGCAAAGCCATGTTTGGACGGGCTCAAGTCTGCCGCGGCTGAGGTCCTCTAATACTGGCCAGCATGGCGAGCATCGTAGCATGGATCGCGAGCCTCGACCTCATCAGTCAGCGAGTTCGGCCGCTTCATCCACCAAGTCTTTTTTTTTACATGGTTTGAGGCTCGCCGAACCGGCTAGGGCTACGAGGAAGTCAGCTTTCGCCATTTCACACATGCACACAAATTTATATACCTGCACAGTATGCACCACCGACAAAGAAAGAGTCGTGCTGTTGTAGCCACTTGCCTTTCTACATCCAACCGGAGACGTCTCAAATGTCGGCGCTGCGGCCTTCTGCAGTCGGCAACAGGACGATGATACAATCCAGTGCAGAGAAGATTCCATGCCTCCGTAGGCGAAGATTTGTGTATTCGGGATTGTACAAACACCAGGCCAACTCCGTCGGGATACTACTATGCAGCGCCTTTGGCTGCTCCCGCAGCACCGCGAGTCGTGCTGAGCGCTTCTCAGCCCATGCACATGCACAGCCGCGGCCCCTGTTCTTGGCGCGTCTTGGGCCGGCACCACTTTCATTGTTGCACTGGCAGGCTTAGCGGGCATTGCCCCAGCCTTGGCTGCAGCACGCCCAGCATCAAGAGACAGAGCACCCCACGGCCGCCACAGATGTTGTGAAAACCAAGGCAGTGCCGCCCATCGTGAGAACCATAAGGCCTGCTGTGAGCCGGTTTCACCATCTGCGTTGTTTCCGCTTATCCGACTCCTTTAGACTTCAGGATGCCGGCTACAAGCACGACGGCCCCAGTCACAGTCACTCACTGTGCCACGGCCTGGCGCCACTTGGACGCTCAGAAGTTGATGTGTCCGAGTCCAACCGATGTGGAGTTGCGGCAGCGCATCACACCATCGAGGTGACGATGGCTCCAACGCTGTCAAAAACTTGACCGATGGCGCCTTCACCATCACTGGCAAGCCTTCCAAAGGTTCACCTGTAAACGCACTTGGCACGATTCCGCTTACTTCTGGGCAATACTTCGAGGTGACATGCCAGGACTGATTGGGTTTCGTGACGTGTGTGTGTGTGTGTGTCTCTTGTGGAAACCTCTAGATTCTAGATTTGCATAAAGCGCTGCACGTAAATCAAGCGTCAAAGAGTGGATGCCTCGGAGGACGGTGATGGACCGTTTATCGGAGTTGGGAAGCTGGAGAGCTTTGCACAAGGATACAAGTGTAAGGGTCTCCTGTTTGGCGGCCCGGGCAATTTGTCCAACGGCTCTGCGCTCATGAAAGGCGAGTTTGGGGAGCAGGTCTCGAAGGGATCGGTCGTTGGCATCCTCTTCGAAATGACTTCAGACCTTGTGACGCTGACCGTGTACCAAGACGGACGATGCCTGGGGCCGGCATTTACAGCGAAGCGACAGGAGAAGGGGCAGCTCTTTCCACTGGTTCAGGCGAAGAGTGATGGCGACACCTTTCGGATCGCCTTTAAGGCCCCGCCGGCAGTCCGCAGCAGAGAAGCTGGCAGCCAGGAGGGATTCGAGGGGAGTTGGGCGATCGAGAAGATGATGGTTGGTCCCGAACTCGGCGAGTACCCGCTTTCCACAAAGATGAACGAGAAGCCAGTCGTACTAAAAGTTACCACCGGCCCAAACGGCGCTGTTCGGATGGGCGCCAAAGTTGTGAACGTGCTGAATTTTTCCGCATCCTCGAGTGCCGATGCCAGCTTGGCTCCGTTTGATGCCTTGACAGTGAATCCTGGCATCTCAACGATGATGGCAGGCCCGGAGCCTATGATGGACGCCGAGTCGAAGCTTTCGACCGGACTTCAGGGTGCTCGCAAGTGGATAGTTTCTAAGGGCCAGCTGCTGATCAATGGACCAACCTTTGAGATCTCTTGCGCTCGCCACGTTGAATCGTTCGAACCTGTGGATACGGAGATCTGACGAGACGCTGCAATTCCACGGGAAAGGTCGAACACGCATCGTTTGAGAAAAAGCCGTGCCAACGTCCTTATCTAACCGGCATCTGCGCTTGTTCGGCTGTGGCTCGCCTTGGAGCATCCTGCCTTCACGAGGCCCAGGGATTTGCCAATCTGCGGCGCGCAGCTGAGACTGCTTTCGGCATTTGCGGCGGTCGAGCAGAGCGCGGGGTCGTGCAACTAGCAAAGCCCGCATGTAAGAAAATGCATGAAATGCGATGCACAGCCAGGCCCACAGCCCTCAGCGACATCTCACCCTTCAGCAGATTGCCGGCAGGGAGATCAGCAATGGGAACCTGCGTCAGGCGAAACTGTTTATGGGGCCCTTAGCTGCAGACGGGTTGGTCGAAATTTCGCTGATTCCAGGCGACCTGGCTTCTGAACACTTGTCAGAAAAGCCAACAGGCCGCAGCTTCGCCTCACACTACTTTTCACGAGCTTGACGTCGACAAAGGCAGCCGATCCCGAAGTTTACAGCCAGCTCATCACCGCTTTCGCTTCACGTCGATTGATGAGGGAGGCAGCAGCTTGGTCCGCAGAGCGTGGCATCTGATGGACAGTTTTTCAGGCGGTGAGCTGGATGAACGTGGAAGGAAGCTTAGCGATTGCTCGCCGTGCTGCGTTAAGTGTGGCGCAAAGGCTGCTTGACCCATCCACAAGCCCAAGGCACTGGCAATGGACCTGGAGCTGGACGCTGCAGCTTTTGCTGCTGCCACGCGCTGAGAAAACAGGGCTACGCAAGCTGTTGTTTTCATGCTCAGGGCGGTGGAGCACACATCCGAAGAGCGATTCCTCTCTTGGTGTAATGTCCTTACATGCTCTCTCGAATGTTGGTACGGCATGCAGTGTTGTCCTTCTGAGCACGACGGCATGCCAGAAAGCCCCACGCACTACCTTCGGCAAAAAATGGCTCTAGGGGGCAATGGGTAGAACCGGGTAGAACCCACAAGCCCAATCTGCTTCCGTTTGCATAGGTCACGCAAACGGTCGAGCATGCACGCTCGTGACCAACAGTTTTTGCAAACGACGTGAGCAGAAGGGTTGATTCTACTCGTATCTCTATCTGGCAAAGGTAGATCTTCATCAGAGCAGGAAAGATGCCAGCTCCTTGGTCATGCCAACTCTTGACCTCATGCTCGTGAGTGCAACCTTCTGGCATGCAGGTCGGTCCACGGGAGGAGTTGGACGAAGAAGGCCAGCAAATATTTCGTTGGGAGAACATGGGGCAGGTGACAGTGAAGGCTGTCTAATTGTCTGAGCATGTTCTGGTTCTAGGCCGCAAAAAGTGGTGGAGAACGGTCCGTTCCCAACTCCGGCTGATCGCCATGAGTGGCTTGTCTGTCGGCATGCGACCAGCAAAGGTCTCACGGATGCGGGAGGGTGGTCTTCTGGAAGGCGCGCTCATCAGCGCCGGGGATGGAGAGTTTCGGGTGAGTTTGAGGCCAACTTGAGGTATTGGAACACAGCAAACGAAGAGAAGGGTTCACTTTGAGACCTTCGCATTGCCGAACAAAGAAAACGTGTCTTCTCCTGCTTGTCCACGTTTCTATGTCTGTCTCCCCAGAGCTTTCGCAGGCACTGTGGGCCGAGATGCGCTGCTCTATCTCCAGAAAGCTGGTAACTTATCCCGTTTTGCATATAGGCTCAACTCGATTTTGGATTGGGCTGAAGCTCTGTATTTCGCCACATCATGCACTATTTGTTTGCGATTTCAAGCTTCTGCTTCTGGCTGAATCCTGATGTTTTCAAGGCTTGCCAATCTCGGCTAGAAGTTCAGGCAACTGTGTTCCAGGAGCCGAAGGGTTCACTCGAGTCTCTGTGCATCTGGGATGTCTGAGCCGATGAAATTCAGCTGCCTCGGTAGTAGCGTTGCTGCAGGCAAGTTAAGTCTCGTTTGAGGCTTGCGAGAGGGTTTTTGTTCAGGATGCCATCCGTGGCTTCAGAGACGTTGCATCCTCAGCCTGTGCAATCATGCTGTTGCTCGAGGAAACACTTGAAGCTCAGGATCCAGATTCCGCGGCCGAGTGCCTTCAATGTGCAAGCAAGCTGCGTCTGGAGCAGGAGGAGAGACGGAGCGACGCTGAGCCGCAGCTGCCTTACTTGGGTTGGTCTTGTGAGGCCTCTACGTTCCATTCCGTGATCATGAAATGCTGTGCGCAGCTCAGCATGCTCGGCTTCGGAAGCAGTCGCACCTGCTCCGGACTTGACCTGACACAACAGAGTTTGCTTAGGCATGCATGGCCTGCTAGACAAAGCAGCGGCACTTGTGGATACCATGGCACCGCACTCAGCTGTCAACGTCCGAGCGGCCGTCAGAGTCTCTTGAAGAATCTGTCAGGCCGAGTGCGGATTGCAGCCTGCATCTGTCACCTGGCGATCATGTTGTGACTGCGCAAAGGCGAACTGCTCACAAGTTTCGTGACTGAGGACATCTACCGTGCCTTGTGCCACAGTCAGGCATGGAGTTTCAACTTTTCGGGCTACCGCTGCTTGTTGTCGCGGTGGGTAGACACGGCAGGCATTGAGGCACAACGAGACCGGGGTGGAATTCTGGCTTTCCAAGCTGGAGGCCGAGACCGGCCATTCCAAGTGCATGTGGCAAGTAAGAGGTGGCGGCTCACGGGTGTGTTTTCGGTTCTCAGCAACTGTGATGTGACGGCGTACGAACAGGATGCTGAGATGGAGCTGGCACCGTTTCGTTTGATGCAAAGGGCCCAGTGCTGCTGAGCACATAAGTGTCCGAGTTCGAGCACCGGAAGCCCTGAAGGTCGTATCATCGAGCAGCAAAAGGCCAGGCGGAGTCATCCGAGGCACGAGCAAGTTTTTTAGTTTTATGTCGCTCGTTTTTGAATGTTTGGAATGACAGTGGACACCCCTTCGCGTCCAGCTTCTTGCTTCCCCTGGTAGGCTTGGCTAGAGCGCGCGCATGACGCGGCACTACATCCTGATGTTGCCTGTTACAACGAGGCCGCTGCTGGCTTTTCTTGTCATGGCTAATGAGTTCATGGATAGCACTGTGCATGATGCCTGCCAGGTCCTGGCAGCCTTCTCGCGGCCCAAAAAGGCCTTTCCATGCTCATGCGGCAGAGGGACAGGCGTTACAGTCGCAAGTGAAAAACTGTGTGAAGCGGCTGCAGATTACACCACATTAGGGCATGTGCGGTCTTTCTCTCGTGTCAGTCGTCGTGTTCTTGTCTTTTCGTCTTTAATGCTCGAGTTGCTGACGTGGGTTGACCTCGTTGCACCATAGAATCTACTCAGAACTCTACTTGTAGCACCGTGCTCAGCCTGATCGGGAAGCAGTCTGACACGTTTTGTCGATTGTTCGGCCACGCCAGGGAGCAGGTTCTGAGTGCCGCATCGCCTAACTTTACCAAGCTGGTGTTTGCCCACTTGTTGTGTTTGCTCTTGCTGTTGCGCTTACTGTTCAGGGCTGTGCAACTGAATGGTCTCTTCCTGCCAAGCGGGCCGACGGAGCGTGGAGGTCTGCATATTCTGCTTGAATGATGGCACAATGTAGGTAGTAGCTTTTTCAGCCAGAATGTGTGTCTCTTCACAGGTGCTTTCAGCAAATGCGTCACAAGGAACGGTTCTGGCCACATCAGAAGTGCTCTTTCTTGGTTGTAGGTCCAGTTCACGTCCAGTCTCCGACAGGCTGTCGAGCCAGATGCTGGATCCTACAGGACGGCTGGTCGCCGCACTTGTAGGCTGCAGACAGTGCTTACCGGACAGGTCAGTACTGCGTGGCTTTGCCCGGTCCGGCCTTACGAGGCTCGCATGCTTGCATCATACTTCCGGCTCGTGCTCTTGATGGCCTGTGCTTTCGTGTGGTGGTGAGGCGTAGCGTGGAATGGATGCAGCAGATGCTGGACGCGAATGTGGCCGTCGATGAGACATGTTGCTCGTCCTTGCAAGGTATTCGAAGGATTTGGCAGAAGCTGCTACGCGCTGTCGTGACCACGAACGCAACCTTACAGACACTGAGATGCTGCAAGTCAGGCTACAACTCGCTGCTTTGTGATGCTGCCATGTTTTCTGACGCAGTCACATTGCTATGACATGGTATCGCACCAGGACTGTTGAAGCCACCAGGGTAGAAGAGACGTGCTTGCTATGTTTGTTGCTTGCCATCCTTGTATGGCGTAGACTTCTACCCTTCCTGCAGCCGTTTGAGACATGAAAGTTATCCCAAAGCCCGTCTCCCATTCTCCTCGGATGCCTCGTGCACAGAGACTTGCGAAAGATGACATACGCGGACTTGCGAAACCGAGAAACTGTAGAGGATCCTTTCCTGCTGGGCTCAGGCATCATGCAAGGATGGCCAGGCGGCCAGCAGCTTTCTGGCTGCTTGCGCGGCGCACAGGTGGATGGCCGAGAACACAACAGAGCGGTGACACTTCTTTTCCTGCAGATGCGTGCAGCAATTGCGTGCAACAGGTTGCCAACATGCCGTTTGCCTTCCAGGCCGTACAGCTTGGCCGTTCGTTTTCGTCTAGGTTTGATCTGGCATTTTCCAGCTCCGTTTTGTTTAAGGAGAGGCGAAGAAGGGTTGCAAAGTGTTCGCAACCCTTCGTGTTACATGCTTTTGGGGATGAGACTGACAGAATAGCATGCCCAGCGTGGCCTGCTCCTAAGACTAGGAACTAGAGTCGAATCTTCAGCTTCGTCAGGCCATGTCCGCAGACGGGGCGGAGGACTTGTCCTCACTTCCATGGTTATAGCCGCAGTGGTGTCGGCGAAACTGCAGGAGCAAGAGCCTTCCTCGAAACGCCAGAGGTCACAGGCCAGAGGATGCGGTAGAAGCTGCCTTTGCTACCGAGTAGGGAGTGTTCGAGACGTGGTCCTCGCAAGTGATGCCAGGACGGCTCGGAGGCCTTTCCTTGTCTGGGAGGCTGGCCAGGCCTGGATCGTACAGAGCAGGGCCTGCTTTTGGAGCAGTGCCCCACTTTACCTGACCGCGTCAGG